GTTAACATTACTTAACGCACAGAAAACTAACATGAACAACTGTATTAATAAATGCAGTAAAAAATGCATATTGTTAGCTAATGCATTAATATACAGTATGTTACAAAAATGAGACCTTATTGTGAAGTGTTATCTATATTTTAATATTATAATAATATGGGAAACTATAGTTACAATATTGTGGGGTAGTACACAAAACTAAACTGCCCTCTCAAGGACAGACAGATCACCACTACTGAAATAAACCGTCTCTATAATGAGTTTGAACACACACCGACCTTCAAATTCAGCCGACGGCTCGTCGCTTCTGACTCCAGCCATGTGGTGCTGCTGTGTGACAGACTGGGCCAGCATCCCCTCCAGCCGGTCCAGTGTGGCCTGACCCTCGGCCGTCAGGTGAGACAAACCCTCCTCATAGGTGTAAAACGTGGGGACGTCGCCCTGGCCCTGACCCTGACCCTGCTCTTGCTCTGAGAGAAAAGAGGAACGGCACAAAAGCACTGAAATCATATGAGGAGACACCAAGCCTCAGTACTCCGAGATGATTGACATTAATATCGCCTTCACTCAAAAGTGGAGAGAAACCGGATCAGTGCTTCTCAACCAGGGGCCTCAGGAGACCTCAAGATGGCTTTAAAATGACTTCAAATAAAACAAAACCAGCTTTAGAATGAAATAAAACCAGCTAAAAATCCAGATGTAAGCCAAGCTAGCTTTAATTTGCAATCGAAATCATTTTAATTTTTTTATTTTAAAAATCTCATTGTCTTTGAAAGTTATATATTTCTAGTTATGTCATGCTTTAAAATATTTTATGTAGAAACAAGCTGAGAAATTTCCATTTGAGAGTAAAAAAAATATTTGAAAAACGGCTAGAAACATGCAAATTAATGCTCGTAAAAAGTATAAACTCTGAAAAACAGAAACATTATTTATTTAATTATTTATAGAGAACTGAATTACTTTCATTTGAATTATTTAAAAAGCAGTTTACTTCATTATTCTAGAATTGCAGAATGTAGTGATTTTAATTTGAATGACTTACGAATAGTTCATTTAATTATTTTAAGAACTTAGTTTAATTTTAGGATTTAAAAGTAGTTTATTTCATTATTTTAGAATTACGGAATTTAGTGATTTGAAGTGGCTTCTTTCATTATTTTAAAAAGTTTATTTTATTATTTTAAGAATGACAAACTTCAATTATTCTAATTCCAATTACTTATAAGTGGTTTATTTCCTTATTTTAATATATTGCCATTCCTGGATGGCCTGCCATTTGTGCAAATAAAAAGCTTTTTTACAGCTTTAGTACCAGAAATGTCTTGGCCTGTATGAGGGACCTTTGAACATTGTCTTGGACTCTGGGGGACCTTGGGAGTCCAAAAGGTTGAGAACGCCTGCACTAGATGCATTATGGATCCAAATCACACTCACCAGCCTCCTCGACGTCATACTCCTCTCCCTCGTAATCGTCGTCATCTGTGTCCGCGTCCTCGGGGTCGGGGTGCAGGGCCTGACAGTCGCACATGGCAGAGAACATGGGCTCCACTGCACACACACACACACACA